TAACTAGGTAACCTCTGATTGATCGAATAACCCCTGATCAAGTAACTACCCCTGACCGACTAAGTAACCCCTGACTGAATAACCCATAAGCGATCGACTAACCCCTAACTGAGTGAGTAACCCCTTACCGAGTGAGTAACCCCTAACTGACTGAGTAACCCTCGACCATTCTTTCAAAAAAAAAAATATGTGTGTGGTTAGCCACATATGAAAGTTTGTGCTTTTATAATTTACCATCTTGATTTTAATATTGTTCACATACTTTCATTGACCATCTTTTAAAATTTATACACATAAAGAAAAAAAGTCACATAAAATATTGTTAAATTCGTCTCGATTTAGATGCTAAAAATATAAACTTTTTACCATTAATTGAAAGTTAATATTTGACATTATTAATGTAAGTTGTATATTGACTAACGTAAAACCCCGAATAATACTAAAATAACAGATAAAGTATATTTGTTTAGTTGCAGAATTGCAGGTGATTACAAGGGGGTTTTTTCAACTTATATTTCCTTGGTTTCTATTTTATTCACACATTTCTTTCTACCATGTTTGCCAATATATTTTCAAATATATGAATCATAGAAGAGAGTCAAATCAACTCATATAACATAACGTTAAAAATGTTAATTAATAAGTTAGAGAAATCAGAAAAGACGTAAGGGTAAATCAAAATATTAATAATATCAATCGATATGACGTGTAAAAAAATCATTACATGATTTACATGTCTTCGTTAATATCCAAATCAAAGTGGGCATCAATTGGCACTAGAGAAACACAAAAATCCACACCCACGTATGTACAAACCCATCACATAAAAAGCCTTAGGCCCCAACGTTAACATACTTAAGCCTGGAGAATTTGAAAGCAGACAATTTGTAAGGTTAAGAATTTTGCAGTGAATTTCAATAAAGATTAGGCAGTTGAATTTTTTTGAAAAACATCCATCTAATTTACCAGCTTTTGTCTACAATCAATTCTGTCTTTTTTTGTTTATTGTGTGATTAATTTGCTTTTTCTTTGGCTGTCAAAATCTAATCTGGAAAGTGACCATACATTTTGATTTAGTTTTTGAAATTTCATTATTTTTGTTTTATTATTCTTATTAGGCGGTAAGTAAACAAGTTCGGTATGAAGTCTTATCGCTTTATCAAGCTTCAAGTGAGTTATTTTCATAGTTTCAAAAAAAAAAAAAAAAAATGTGAGTTATTTTCATAATTATTTTTTTATATTTATCTTAAAATGTTTAATTCTCATGGAATTTTAACATGTTTAAATAAGGGTTAGAGAATTCTCTTTATCAAAGAAAAAGAAAAAAAAAAAGAGGATTTCTTAATTAGGAATTGAAAGAGTGATTCTAAATATTGCAATTTAACAACTTAAATAATTGATGTGATGACACGTATGGAGAAACATCTAAGCTAGGTATTACATATAAGATAAAACATTAGATTGACATGGTGTAGAATTCTCGAATCACTTGATCACCTAAGATTCCACCATCAACGATTATAAGTTTTGTGACAACATACAATGTGTGAATGTACCTTCACTTGTTATCCTTAAGTCATTTTAACTAGTATGAAACCATTTTATCTGGACTAATAAATGTATTTGATCTTGTATTATGAAATTTTATTTTGTTTGATTTTATCTTATTTTAACTTATTTTATCAAAAATAAAACGAAATAAATACTCTGTATAATTTAATCAAAAAGCACGCTACTAATGTAGTTTCATTGTATTTTTGTACAATATACACCCTTTGTTTCATATTAATTTTTCTACTTAACTAAATTTGTCTCACAAACAAATTCCAACTAGAAAGAACAATATGAAACGAAGAGTGTATTGTTTTTACTCGTTATAGATGTCATCAACAACTTGCTAATGAAAATACTTTGTATTGTAATTCGTATATTTTATAAACAGATAAAGTATGAGGAATATTTTGTAAAGAAAAGTATAATTAGAAATGTAACCGCGTAGAAAAATGTTGTAAGAAAGAGTATAGTAGAGTTTGTAGTAAACGAGGCAACATTGTAGTCAAATGTTTGACGAAAAGCACGTAACATTGCTATTGTGGACTTGGCTAGCGTATGACCTTACCGCATGTGTTTGTTCTTCTCACTTGGGTTTTAGTCCACTTTTTTATGTACGAATTCACTCGTTATCTTCTTTGAATGCAATAATTTATTACTTTTGATCTATAGTAAACCTGGCAAATGGGTGGTTTGGGTCAGGTCATTTCGGGTCAGTTAACATTCGGGTTGGGTATGGGTCGGGTCGGGTCATTTTGGGTATGGCTCGGGTCAGGTATCGGGTCGATTTCGGGTCGGGTCCTTTTCGGGTCAATATATGTTCGGGTCATATTCGGGTCGGGTCAAAATCAGGTCGGGTTATGTTCGGGTTGTTCCATTTAATTTGTGGATCTAGCTCAAATCAATAATTTTATATTTTATTATTGTTATAATGAGAACTATCAATTCGGTTTATGAGTGTGGCTACAGTTGAAGATGAACAATTTAAATTATTTTTGGCACCAGACATTTTTAGTTCAATTATAACGTAATTTTAATTTGGGACATTTCGAGTATTGGGTCTGTTCGGGTCAATTTTGAGTATGGGGTTTGTTCGGGTCAAACAATTTGGGTCAATTTCGGGTCGGGTCAATTCGGGTGTCGGGTCAGGATCGGGTCAACTCTATTTTCAGGTCGGGTATGGGTCGGGTCGGGTCAATTTCGGATTTCGGGTCGTTATATTTGGGTCATTTTCGGGTCATGGGTCGAATCATACAGGTCGGGTCATCGGGTTTGGGTCAAGATTGCTAGGTCTAGCCTATAGTTCATTAATTGAGGTGTGAACCAAATAATATTTTCACCGTTTCTTTTACTTGATCTGTTTTTATTTTTTTTATTATTATGTTTTGTCAATGTATAATTTAATTATCATTATCATGAATTATCGATATATGGTATTTAATGCAACGTTTTTAACAAGATTTATTAACTAGGTTTTTCGTTACGATACTCATAAAAGACGATTAAAAGAGAAATGTGGGGATGTTGGGTGTGTCGTGTGGCCAAATTTTATAGGCTCATTAATTAGGCGGAGTATTTGTGCATATTCTAGAAGTTTTTGGAAAAATTAAGTAAGGTTATTTCTTGTTCATGATATCTCTGAAATTATCTCCTTGAACGTTCTCGAGAATTCTTGACACTAGAAGCAACTACAATATCAAGTGGGTGTTGTTAAACGTCGTTCACAAATTACAAGGTGACGCTCGCATTTTTTTATTGAATTTTCTAATTTGCCCCTCATATATAAATACTTGGAAAACCGAGTTACGAAACTCACAAGTCATTTCTCAACCCGACACTCTCTCTCTAAAAAAAGGCAAGAATTTTTTTTTAAAAAAAAAAAAACTCAGAAATTTATTTTCAAAAAAAACCAAAAATTTGAAAATCAAACGAAGAACATACGAAAACCAATCAAAGCTTGAATCTGGGTATGGCGGACGGGAGACGCATTAGGCTTACGTACGGTGGTCGTGGGGGCGGCATTTCCGGCGGCGAGCAGGTTGGTAATTGTTGCTTTGTTGCCGTAATTAAAAAAAAAAATTCCGGAAAACCCAGACATCCGCCTAAAATTTCCGGAAGTCTGGGGAAACTTCCGGAAATTTCAGGCGAAAGTTTGGGTTTTAAATTTTATTTTTTTTCTTTTGTTTGGTGAAGCTGTTATTTTTTTTTTTTGTTTTTTTATTTTATTTTTTTTCTTTTGTTTGGTGAAGCTGTTTTTTTTTTTTATTCGTGATTATTGGTGATTATTAAATTTTCAATAATCTGTTTTTTTCTCTTTTTTAATTTGGTGATTATTATTGTATTTCATTGATTATTTTTGTGTAATTTAGATCAATTATTATTGTTATGTATTGTTGTTATGTTTATTTATTATTTTTTTCATTTATTGTTATTGTTACGTATTGTTGTTATGTTTTATGTATTGTTGTTATTGTTATGTTTATTTATTTTATTTTTCATTTATTGTTATTGTTATGTATTGTTGTTATATTTATTATTATTTTTTTTTTCATTTATTGTTATTGTTATGTATTGTTGTGATGTTTATTTTTATTTATTGTTGTTATGTTTATTTATTTTTTGTTTTCATTTATTGTTATTGTTATGTAATGTTGTTATGTTTATTTATTTTGTTTTTTCATTTATTGTTATCGTTATGTATTGTTGCTATTATTTTTGAATTTGAATATTAACGATTCAAGGTTGATATCATAGTTGTGTGTGTAAGTATTAATGAAATTATATTTTCTACTTATTTAATGCAGATTGAGGGTTCGGGCGCTCGACATGCAAGATCGAGACGTTTGAATGCATCAGTTAGGAGGGAGTTAGGTGGTGCAGGACCTTCGGAGGCACCGTTTCACCGTGAGCAGCAGTATGGGTCTGCTCGTACTTGGTCGGGGGAGCATCAGTCAGACATGAGCGCCCCCATGTACTCGTCGGGTAGAGTGTCTGTATTTGACGATGAGGACGACGATGAGCGAGCTAGTCATGCTAGTCGAGATTTAGAGTATGACCCTCAGGATTACCGTACTGTGTATAGGGGTGACCATGGGAGATATGGTAGTAGTAGTGAACCAGGTGAAGGTTCTACCAGCTCGTCTGAGTCATGGGTGGTTCAGGGGCCGATGCCAGGTGGGCCTGAGGATGGTATTGTCACTCCTAGTTTTGGGGGTCACGTGGCTGCATATTTATGGGGTGGCCAGGAGCGAAATGTTCTGCGGTGTTTGAGCAGGACACAGTTGTGTACTGAATTGGGTAACTGACGCGCTCGTCTTCCGCAGGAGCACCTGGAACTGATTGATGGCAGTGGTCTATCTCACTTACCCGGGATCATGTTCCGGTGATTTGAGTGGCCCCTGATTTCTGCTTTTTTTTAGAGATGGCATCCAGACACGAACACGTTTCACATGCCATTTGGGGAGATCAAGATCATGCTGCATGATGTGTATCATATTCTAGGGCTCCGTGTCGACGGTTCCATGGTTTCCACTACTCCTAGCACGGACGTTTTACGGGACGTGTGCTCGATTACCTTGGATATGACTGCGGAAAAGCTGAATGAGAAGTGCGGTACTAAAACCGTATGGCAGGGTAGTGGGGTGCTGACTGAGAGGATAGTGGAGTCGACCTTGGAGGCACAGAGGCCCTTCAGTTTCCATTACAGGGCGTACCTGTGGTTAGTTCTTGGCGGATGTTTGTTTCTGGACAAGAGTGGAAACCATACTCATCCTTCCTTCCTTAACGAGGTTTTTGTTGAGGATGGTCAGATTAGTGACTACTCCTGGGGTTCTGCTGTGCTAGCATACATGTACCGGCAGTTGGGTACAGTGTCACGAAAAGATGCTGATTCTATCGCCGGCTGTCTTACGCTTCTGCAGGCATGGATCTACGAGTACTTCCCGTGTTTTAGGCCTCAGCAGGGGACCTTGACCAGAGAGCTTACTGTTTCGCGTGCGTCCGCTTGGGATGTCGGATTGGGGTGCCCCAACAAGAGCATGGAGCGCCTCCTCGCTTTTCGTGCTAGGTTGGATCATCTGACTGACAATGAGGTGAACTGACTATCGTACGGAGTTGATCCAGCACGACGCGTGCCTGCTACTCTTTTCATTGGCTACATCCAGTATCGTAGCATCATTAAGCCGTATATGCCTGATCGAGTGGTTCGACAGCTTGGATACGTCCAGGGCATTCCACCAGCCATCATCAGGCCTGAGAAGGCAAAGAGGCCGACGAACTTGAAGATGTATCGAGTTGAATTTCCGTCAGAGATGACATCTATGATGTGGACTCGGTTTGTTCCCGGTATGTCTTTCAGTGTCGTGATAGGTGCCCTGAGCAGACTTGGTGGTGGTGGTCCTACGGTCGGTCCTGGGTACATGTAGTGGCTATACCGATTTTCTCATCCTCGTGTTTCTCCAGTTGCGTCATCGCATGAGAGTCGCACACTGCCAGAGAGAACTAACACGGATTACGTAAGAACTTGTGTTTTTTGGATGTGTAATTATGATTAGAAAAACGTGTGATTTATTTAATATGTTGTTTTTTAATTGCAGTGGATGGGTCGGTCCATGGAGGTCATCAACAGGACACTGGAGGAGTATCCGAGCTTGTCGCATGATACAAGAGTAATGGCTGAGGCGCTACGAGCTGATTGGAGGGCGATGATGGGGTTGTGAACTTGCTGTTTTTAATATTAATTAGTCATGTACTTTAAGGACTGAACAACTGTTTTTGTTTTGTTGTTGAAACTTTGTTTAATTAAGTTAATTTCTTTACAAATTACATTTCTACAATTGTTCATCATACATGCGTGTTACATCAATAAGTTCATTGTCTAGTTAACGCATCCCACATGTTCCTTCTAGCTACATAACGGTGATCCCAACCTTCAACACTTGGTTCGTGGTTCTCGGTCCACCAACTTGCAATAGGGGGAAGTAGTGAATCTGGTGCAAGTTCAAGCAATATAAAATGTGAGGCAGAAACTGTAGCGATGACAAACTCCCGTTGTGGTGCCGTGACTCCTCTTCGTGCCCGCAATGGCAAGATAGTGAGACATGGGTACAAGCAGGTTGGTACGGTGCCTACACCGAGAATAATAACCATTGCGTTGAACCAAGTAGCAATGGGAAATAAATCTTGAATTGCAACCATCCAATGACGAGCATCAACCGCCCCACCGTCCCATCGAATACGCTCCACATTTATCTGAAGCCTTCCAAGCCCGTAAATCCTCTCGTACAGGGATGGATAACCAAGGACCTCGTTTGCTATTGTTTCTCGAGCGTCATACCATCGGCCTTGATCATCAAAGAAGAACTCCGCGACACAACGAAAGCCGCAGTTACCATCGCCAACGACATCTTTCCACCCTGTGATGAAAGGCAACATCGGTCCTGGAAGCAAGTGTCAATACCGGCTTTGGGTGATGTCTAATTCATCTTCTGCAAATATATAGGGTTCAGTTATTAGTACAAGAACTCATGAAAAACGATTAAACCCACAATACCAAAATCATACCTCCTTGTTGTTGACCAGAATGACTGTTTCGGCGATTCACATGTTCGAAATAAGACCGATCACGTCTTGTATCGTTGTTCCTCTGTCGACCACGCACCCTACGGTTGATATGAGGTTCTTGGAGGTTATCATGATCCGGATGTAGCTCTTCCTCAATGATGCGTGTCACATTTCGTAGAACAGCATTATCACTACCAAGTATCTCGTCCATCAGATTTCGAAAATGTGTGGCGTCCTCGGTCGAGTCATTATCGAACGCTGGTCCGTCATTACCATTGCCGATAACCAAAGTCTTCCAGAGTTGGTGAATTTTCCTACTATACAAGCCCGTCTCTCGAGCTAAAGACTCATGTATCTGACAAGCACATGGCAAACCATGGGTCACCCGCAATGCACATCCGCAACGCTCATACACCTGATAACTCAGATCCCTCATCCTTTTCGTCTCCTTGTCGAGAATCTTCAAACAATGCTGAGACACCTTGCCGTTAATACGTGACAATGGCAATTGTCAGTACTTCTGACCAATCTTCGACCTAGATGCCTCCAAATCATTACGAATAGCGATGATCTGATTACTAATGTGACAATGAACTCGGGCCCATACGGTATCCAAAGAACCTGGAGGCTACCAAAAACACGTTATTATTTACAACAAACATAAATACAATAACATACATACATCAAATACAATAACCAAAAAACGAACCTGTCGAAGAATCAAACCACATGTTGACGGCCGAATGCTGGCTCTCAACTCTACATGTGCTTGTGTTGCCAAAATGAAGAACTTGGTTTGTCCAAAATGTCACAAACTTCGTTTTATGACAAAGCCAAGTCCTCTCAACATACTCTATCACCTTTGGATAACTTGCCCATTTCAGTTTCATCGTCTCTACAGCAGCCTCATAATCCTCCTCGTTTGCAGCGTCCATCACACGTTTCCATCTCCCGTTTTTTGAATGTCGCACCGACCTTTTTGTTTTTGAACATATCAGTGACATGAGCCTCAACATCTTTGTTAATATGCCATCGACAAAGTAAGTGCGAGGTCCCTGGAAACACTTCCCTCAATGCCGCAACTAGCCCCAGCTCACGATCAGTCAAGAAAACCGACGGTTCCTTATCAAACCCGATCAAGTCTCTCAATCTCTGCAAAACCCATCGATAGTTGGCCGTGCACTCGTTGCGAATGAAGACGTAACCGACGAGGAAATTTTGATTTGTCAGTGTCACACCAACTATCTCAAAGAACGGCATTCCGTATTGGTTGGTCTTGTATGTGGAATCCATACCGATCACATACGGGTACGTCCGTAGGATGTCTACCATGACTGGATGCGCCATGAAGGCGTGTTGTAAAACGCCTTGATCATCAGACAATACCCAGTAGACATACTGACTCTGTCTAGCCAAATGTAGAAACTGCTGAACAAATCCTCTCCCATCTGACATCTCGGTTCTGAAGTAATTTCGGCAGTTGTAAATGTGTCTGATGTTTGGATGATCCTGAGGAAATTGCTCGGCAATAGTCGCCATAATGTTACGCGGTACTACCTTAGACTTGGTCATGTTACGCACAACCTGCTTCGCTTCCGGGCTTAACCCGCTTATTTTACGATGCCCCTCTGGATACGCAATCATTGGATGGTTGTGGGTCCCAATTACATCATTTTTCGCCGTGATAAACCAACAGTCGTTGACAAAATTGTAAGATATCTTGATGTAGAAAGGACAACCATTGGCTTTGGTTTTCGTGTCCTTCCTTATTGCGTTCTCAAGATCTCTCGGCTTACTTCTTCGTCCCCGATCACATCTCAAATATCGATATGGTCGACCATCTCTGTTTTTGTTGAAAGACGCTTTCACCAAAATAAATCCCAAATTAATGGAAACAGCATCCACCCATGTAACTGCTTCATCAAACGTTCGAAAAACCTTGTCTGTCACGAAATTTGCACTATAATTCACACCGTCACCGCCTTCTTCAACCTCCGAATCCTTTAACAATAAACCAAACAAATGAGGCAAATATTAGTATTATAAATTTAATAATAATACTAATATTTTTATTAATAACAAAAACTATAATAATAATAATAATAACAAAAACTATAATAACAATAATAATAATAATAATAATAATAATAATAATAATATAAATAATAATATAAATAATAGTAACAACAATAGTGATAATAATTACAATAACAATAATCATGCTAACAACAACAGTAACAATATTAATAATAATAATAATAACAATAATAAGAATAATAACAATAATAATAGTAACAAAAATAATAATAATAATAATAATAATAAAAATAAAAATATCGATTCTAATAACAATAACAATAATAACAATAATAATAATAATAATAATAATAATAATAATTCACTACAATAAACATTCTAACAACAACAACAACAACAACAATAACATTAATAATAATAATAATAATAATAATAATAATAATAATAAAATTAGTAATATAAACATAATTAATAATAATAATAACTAACACAATATAATAATACTCACAAAAAAAAAGCAAAAATAATATTACTATTTTTGAAAGAATAAAAAAAAAATATTCGAATTACACCATTTCCGCCCATTTTTTCCGGATTCATAGGGAGGATCCGCCTAATAAATTCGGAAGATCCACTTAGGATTTGGAAATTCCAGGCGTATGTGGGGATCCGCCTGGAATTTCCGGATCCTTAGTGGATCTTCCGGATTTTTTAGGCGGATCCTCCCCTATGGATCCGGAAAAAATAGGCGGAAGTCCATAAAAAAAAAAATTTAAAAACTACGACTTATAGATTCTTCCAACGACTGCTCCGGCGTACTAACGTTATCGTCGCTCATCGTGAATAGTGGGCCCCAACTTCCACACTTGGGATTTAAAAAATGGTCGGGATTACCGTACAATGGTGGTCTCGGGTTTTTTTGTGGCTCGGAATTTTTTAAAGACAAGTGGGGGGTCGGGAATAATATTTAACATTTTACTAGCTAAAGTGAGTCATGGTGGAGCCTTATATGGAAATAAAACACTCAAGGGCAAAATAGTCAATACACATAAAAATGGGAGCGTCACCCTGTAATTAGCGAACGACGAATAGCAGTTCACTATCTGGTTCATGAAAGTTATAGAATACGGATACATGAATGGTGAAGGATATTCAATTCTGAAATATTTTAGTCATGTCTTTTTACCTCCATCTTCACCTATAAATATATATACTTGCCCACTTTTCTACCCTCCCTACCCTCGTATACAATCCTGAATGTACTACTCAGTACTCACCCCAAATATTTTAGGATATTTTGTACTCTCCTATTTTCATACAGTGAATTAATTCAGGTGCTTTTCATTGTGAGTTTTTTTTTTGTGTGTCACTATCACACAATTTGTTAATATTTTTCTTGTCTTTATATATCTTATAATTCATATTTCTTAATCACTGCATCTTTAATTTGCTACCAATCCTGATAAGTGTGTCCATCTATATTACTCCTTTCATTCCTAAATAATTGACACATTTAAACTTGGCACACATGCCAATGTATCAGTTTTTCCTTAGATTTTTTTTTTATTATTTTTTATTTTTTATTATCATGAAATTTTATATTAATAACTATGTAATAATATATTCTATGATAAAATTTATTTTTTATAAGTTAATAATAAAAAAATAAAACGATGATCAAAGTTATTACATAAATAATGAAAAAAGTCAAATGTGTCAATTATTTAGAAACGAAGAGAGTATTATTTTGAAATATTACTTTCTCATTTTCTCAATCTCTACATTTTTAATTTAATTTCACTATGCACTCACTAACCAGGATAAAGCAAATCAAAATAGGTTCTGCAAGACAGTTTTGCATACTTTGGTTGCACATGAGAGTGAAGAATGGTGGCGACGAGTCATCAAATTTGAATGGATGGGATAAAAAATATAAGTCATCAAATCGGAGTAGGTCGGATAAAAGATTCAAACTTTATAATTAAATATTTCAACTTTAGTTTGCACCAAAAAAAATATATTTCAACTTTAGTGAATCATTAGTTGATGATTTATGTTGGTGAATGGATTGATATATCCTGAGAGTATTTGCGTATAGATGTCTTATGTCACATTTCTTGACTGTTTTTTAGCTTGTCCACTATTTAGTGGCATATTTGGAATTATTAACATGAAATTAGTTTAATTATTTAATTAATTAATATCATAGTTTTTATTATATTATCGATTGTCTTTCATTTTCAAATTTGTTGGAAGTATAAATTATCAGATCCTTCTCTCCCTCCCCCAACTCATTAAAATATAAGTCTATCCACTTTTTACAAGTGAATGCTACTAGTTTCATTTTTGGAACAATATAACAACTTTGTTATATCTTTAAGCCAATTAATTAATCGAGTTAGCAAAAACTATGAAGTTTAGTTGTTGCATATCTATAAGAAGCAACGAACATGAATGACTCAACCAGAATCATACATGCATGTAGTGTTTAGTCTTATAACAATCATGTAACGTTAGTTGGATGTTTTAATAAGCGAGTTTATGGTCAATTATATGACTATATATTGTGCAACAGGCTATATTTCATCAACAAGTTAGATAGTAAGCTTTAACCCATTCAAAAGTGCATACACATTAACTCAATTAGACTAGTCACAAACTTACTAATTGTTAATCATGTTGTTATATCATTTGTGTACAATTGGTGGCCAGTCTTATCAAATGAGAAAGAAAGGAAGAAGAAAATGAAAGTGTTAAAGAGAAGGTAGACATTAAGGCCAAAATAATGATAAAGACATTCATTTGTCGACATTGCACTTGTCCATTTGCTTTTCGTTTCTATATTTTGTTGGTCAAAATGTTAGATATAAATAATATGGCCATATCATGTACGATTGTTATATGGGTCATATAGAAAAGCCTTAAATAATTTCAGTAATTTAATGTTTGTGGCTGAGAAAAAGGATGATTTTATGGGTGATGTTCATACATAAGGTTGAGCCAAAATTGTTTGCTTGTAGCAAAGGATTTGTCGATTTGATGTTACTTGCAATTGCCTTGCATGAAGCATGAAATTACGGGATTCTTCTTGGTATTTATTGTCATTTAGAAATTCGAGCAGTAGGTAAATGTTTCAGTGTAAATACACACCATGCCATGCACAGTTAGAGAGTACTAGAAGGAATGTTGCACCCTATACTAGGACTTCAAACTCGAGATCGGCCAATTAACCAAATTGGTATTTACTCCGTTTTATGATTTTTTTGTACCAACGAATGTTAAAATTTTGATAGATTGAAGTGTTAGGGTTAATACTGATATGGCTAATTTGTCTAATTAGCCAATCAAACTCTTAATAATATTCGAGCTTGCACTGATAAATAGAATCAATCTTGCCCTAGCATGCCTCACTTCATAAAGCTAGTGTTTTTATTCCGTATTATACTATTCTTAGTATGTGGTTATTAAAAAATCTCTATTTGGTCCCAAATAGTGCAAATTGATGGACTTTGTAAGAGTTGAAACACTTGGATACCACCGCATTAATGTAAACACTAGCTAGCTTCAAACTTCAAACTAAACAAAGACCTTTTATTTGTTTTCAAAGTATGAAATGAGTCTCACCCTTTAGAAAAATCATAAGCTGTCTTTTTCTACAAAAAGCTAGCTTAGAGCTACTAATCTCAATCTTCCAATAATTTATGAGTTCATCTTACTTTATAATATATCAACTAAACCACCTTAATTAATTAATTGAATGAATAATTAAATAACTAAAATAGAACAATCTTAGGGCTTTTTTGGTAGCATAGTTCTGTAAAGGTCTCAATAAACTAACATTCAAAATCATTACAAAGCCACTACTCTTTGGCATATGAAAGTACTTATTTTTATAATAAGTCAATAATTAGTTTCTTACTTTATACTCTATTACTAAAGCGAATATGAGTATGATTGTATATTCTAACTTTAGACCGTAACACATGGGAAGATCTGCCAATAAACTACAAAACCCTATATTTTATAAAAATTAAAATTATAGTATATGCAATATTAGATTCATGTATTCCGTATATATAGTCTAAACTCTAGTTTTATAATTTCTTTTTATTGGAAAAAGAATGATGCATGTATATAGACATTTTTTTATCAGAGACAAATATGAACCTCAACTTGGCCGGGTTTCATATCCTATGAGATAATCTGTTAATCAGATTAGGCCGCTCACCTTGACTCCTCATGAATAGGGTGGACCGGTGGAGTCTCAAAATGGCTCTATACCGTTTCGTGTCGTGCCATGTTAAAAACGTGCTTGTCTTGTGTTTAACCATGTCTGACCTATTAATTACGTGTTATGTCATGTTATAACCTTTAAAGTGGTGGTCTAAGGTATTGGATCATTTGTGCCATAGGTTATCCTTTTTTTTGCCGTGTTTAAATTATCATGATGCTTGTATAAACAAGTGACTCACTGTCCATGGCCTGGCCTAACACAAACAAGAAAGGGTTGAACCATATGTGATTATTTTGAGCTCAATTAAGTCACCTAACTCAATTTTATATATCGACTAATAGTCTCGATCCAATGTCATCTTTAATCTATAAGAAGAGGGCATATATACTGTACAAACATGCATATATGATTATATAGACAGAGTGATTACTTGTGAGATTGGACACGCAACATATGTTTTGATAAACTTACCTTTTTTTATTTTCCTATTTCTTCTCCACTGCCACCCCTTTTGTCAGTGTGAAATCTGCCAGAACAGACTTCCCCCCACCACTCTACTATATGATGGGTATTTAATTTTTTATTTTTCAAAAACAAATTAATTTAAATATCAAAAATCAAAAATAAAAAATAAAAATAAATATACCCCCATCCCAAAAAAATAAAAATCCAACATATTTAAATACTTGAGCAGAGCAGTTGGTCTAGCCAGCAACTTTCCAACTCTTCTCTTCCAAGTTTCTCTCTCTAAAATTCTCTCTCCTCCCAAAAATGGAGTCATCAAGTGATGAAGAAAGGAAGATTAATGGACATCACCAAAACGAAGAAGATGAAGAACAAGATCCTTCTAAAAGGAAAAAGGGTGGTTTCATTACTATGCCATTTATCATAGGTAAACTCAATTAAATTAGCTCAATTTCTGGGTTTTTCTTTAATTTTTTTGGGTATGTTTCAATTAGCAAAAATAATGAAAAAAAGTTAACTTAATCAATTAACATAATTTTGGTAAAATATGGCAGCAAATGAGTCATTTGAGAAGGTAGCAAGTTATGGGTTGACACCAAATATGATTCTATATTTAATGAAGGATTACAAGATGAGTTTAGCAAAAGGCCAGAATTTGCTGTTTTTTTGGTCAGCTGCTACAAATTTCTTCCCTCTAATTGGTGCATTTGTTGCTGATTCTTATCTTGGGCGTTTTCTTACCATTGGTATTGGTTCCATCATCAGTCTCTTGGTAATTTATTCTACTCCCACTCCTTTCTTTTCTCGTCGAGTCCTGCTAATTGTCTAACAGTTAGGCAACTAATAACAGACACGGAATGTCATTATTGTCAATAATGCTTCCGTTGTTTGTTAGAGGGCCCTTCTTTTTAACATTTGCTAGAAATGAAGAGAGGATTAATAAGGGAGATAAAAGAGAAAATTAAAGAACTATGTAATTAACGTTGATAGTTGTCAAAGCACATGATATTGTTTTGTTTAATGCATTTTGTAGTCAGCAAGGTCCACACTACTATAAGTCACAATTATTTGACTTTGTTTTTTTAAATTTTATTTTCTAAATTTTTTTAAAAAATAAATAGATAAATTAAAATTTGATGGCTAATGTTCACATGGTATGTACGCCTAAGGGGGTCCGTGGTTTTTGTCCTAAATAATTAACATCTTTTTGCATCCTTTTGAACCTTTTTCCACCTAGTTGTCCCCTCAATTTCTTTCGTTATCTTTGTGGGATATTACTTGAAATTATTTTGTTTCATGGTCTAATCAATTAATTAGCAAAAGTCCAAATATAAAAGGCTAGAAATGTTTTTATTGGGATTCAATTTTCATTTCTTTAATTTTTTTTCTTTATTATTCAATTTTTCTTTCTTTAAATAAATTAGGCAAAATTGAGCTCATTGAAAGAATTTGCATGTACAAATGAATTGACATGAAATTGGTAACGAAAAAAAATTCAATGATATGAACTTTGTAGTTCAAGGTATTCAATGACATGTATTTTGGTTAACTTTGACGATTAAGTTCATGTCAATATAAGTATATAAATAAGTTCATATCACTGACTGAAGTTAGAGTATATTTCATGTCAATAAGTGTAATTTAGTGTTACAATTATTGCAATATGTGGTGTTTTAAGTTTCTCCTAAATATCCTATAAGTATTAGGGTCATAGGGAGTACTTCGTATATTTTAATTATATGCGGTATTTAAAAAGTTGTGATCGAAAGTAAATACATGAGCTGAACTGCTGAAGGTATAAAAAATATGGCTGAAATTGGGCCTGTAAATTGTGTACAAAGTCAAAAGGTGTAACCATATAATCGAGAGATCAAATGTATATATACTCCGTAGTGGAAAGTTTAAAATGATTTACGGAGTATTTATTGAAAATGGATGACGTACTTTCTCCATTAAGTATTAATTGCAACAAAGGGGTATTATTTGTGAGATATAAAATATTCCTTTGTTGCAATTGATAGGAGGAAGTATTTCAAAAGGCATTTGGATAGAATTGTAGTCTAGCTAATGAACAACCTTTGACCACAAAAGTTAAACACTTCCCTTCATTCTTTTTCTTCTTTCTATTTACAGTAATAATAGAATCCTAGGAATTGAGAAAATCAGAAGAAAGCGGTTCTTTTTATATTAATTTTGAGTAAAAAAAAATTATTTATAGAAAATGAATTTTTATTTAAATAATACAGCTCACCCGTCATAAGAAAATGTACACAAATAATCTTAACGGAAAGTAGAAAGATAAAAAAAAAAAAAAACCCGAAAAGATTATCGCATGATGTAAACAATAAGAAGGCAATGCCAGGCTAACAATGAGAATAATAGCACTTAAAATAAAATAATGGGATCAACTTAATTAAGAAATTAAAGTGCAAATTATGATATATTGTTGTTGTATTTAGTGAAGAAACCTCGGGAAAGAGAGCTAAATAAGAAGATGATGAAATATTCTTTAAGTAGGATTCCATTTAGTATCATAATTGCACCGGCTCACAAGTCGAGAATTTAACAGGAAGAAAATGAGGAGATGTGGTTTTTTGGTTGGGACCACATTTTATAATGACCTGGCTTGGTTGCCCTTCTCTTAACATAATTATGGTAGTGCTAGTGCATGCTTGGTTGTATGATTAATCATTTAATCTTAGCTATCTCTTCCAAATGCATGATGCCAAAATTTTATATTATGACATTTTTGGATTGATTTTTTGGGTTTTGTTGTTGGGTGACTCGATTACTTGAACGCGTATTTTGTTTTTCTAATTTGATGGATTGTTTAACTTGTTTTAGACATTTTATTTTGTCCGTAGATGATAGCAAACGTAACTGATAAGAAGGAACGAAGAGAGTACTTGTGAATTTTGTGATCAAGCATTGTAGTGGGCTCGGGTTTTTGGTTTAGGAATTGTAATGGGGTATTGTTTATTGAAATTAATTAAATTTTTTTAAAAAATCAGTGGAAATAAGTTAATTATTTTAGGGGAATTGACAGATAATAGGGTGAAGTAAGAGGAGTTTGGTTATCTAGTAGATGATGGACACCGCCCAAATGAAAAATTGATCTTTTAAATGGGACAAGAGTTATAGGAGAAATTAATTTTTTGGAACAATGAAGTATGTTATCTCATGGTCTAAAGACAATATTGGTCATTTTATAATTATCTCAATCGATGTCATGTTCACAAATTCACAATATTATTTGGATTTTTTTAAAACTAACTTTTTTTTTTTTGTGTCATAAAATAATTAAAAACTACGGAGTACGCATTAGCAAATATTGCTGTGTGAAATTTGATCAATGGTACTATTGTACTAACATTTTGGACCACAAGGAATATGGGTTCTGAGCCATGGACCCAACAATAATTAGGAAATTTCTACTTTTGGTTTTTTGTTGCTTGCTATTGCACAGGTAAAACATGACTGCATTTACATGATATGAACTACAGACTAGAGTAACTGTTAATGATATGAGAGATTAGATATTAGAGATGAAAAATATACTCCGTATTAGAAATATTGAATGCATGAAAATATATTCAAATGACAGTAAATGATGTCGGTTATGCTAATCCATTTCAGACTAAAGCTAAAAATTCTACTTGCTACGTAAATTGTTTGAGAAATTCTAAGTGTGTAAAATTTCCTTAATGCAGGGGATGATTCTTATATGGTTGACAACAATAATACCACATGCTAAGCCTCCACCATGCAATCCGTTAGCCAACGATTGCCAATCGCCTACAGCAGGACAGTATGCCCTCTTAGTGTTCGCCTTTCTTTTAATGTCAATAGGTGCTGGTGGTGTGAGGCCTTGTTCTCAAGCATTTGGTGCCGATCAAGTGGACCGAAGAAATAATCCCAAGAATAATAGAGTTTTAGAAACCTTCTTTAGTTGGTACTATGCTTGTGCATGCCTCTCAGTTGTGATTGCTTTGACTGTGATCGTGTACATTCAAGATAAATTTGGTTGGAGGATTGGTTTTGGACTCCCTGCAATTCTCATGTTCTTATCGGGCCTTTCCTTCTTCCTCGCTTCTCCTTACTATGTGGTCAGTAAGGTTAAAAAGAGTCTTTTAACTGGTCTTGTACAAGCAGCTGTTGCTTCTTTCAGAAATAGAAAAATGACGCTACCACCCCAAGGGTCAAACGTGCAGTATTATCAGAGGAAGGATTCCACAACAGCTGTTCCAAGTGACAGATTGAGGTCTGTTTCGAATTGCAAAAAATCTACTAGTTGTTTGAAGTTTGTATATTCAATTTTCTGTCTATCTTGTCGAGTTTTAGACCTTTCCAAATTATAGTATTCTACATAGTTTTAGGATATTATGTTGAGTGGTTTATATTTATGTACCTAAATCTTACCTGTTTTAATCTTTTGATTTTAGGTGCTTGAACAAAGCTTGTATCATTCAAGATCCTAGCCAAGACATTGGCCCTGACGGATTGGCCAAAAACTCGTGGAAACTGTGCACAGTGGAAGAAGTTGAAGAGCTAAAGTCTCTCATCAGAGTCCTTCCGATTTGGTCAACTGGAGTCTTAATGTCATTACATACAAACCTAGGCTCATTTGGTCTGCTCCAGGCGAAAACCATGGATCGACACCTAGGCCCTAATTTCGAAGTACCAGCTGCTTCATTCAGTACATTCATGATCATTGTTATAGTACTGTGGATTCCTCTATATGATCGTGTAATCCTTCCAGTAGCATCGAAGATCCGTGGCAAGCCAGCTCGCCTTGGTGTGAAGATGAGGATGGGGATTGGTCTATTTTGCGCGTTCATGTCCATGTTTGTCGCTGGAACAGTGGAAAACATAAGAAGACGACGTGCCATCAGTCAAGGGTTTGCCAACAATCCTGAAGGAGTGCTCCACATGTCCGCCTTTTGGCTTGTAGTGCAACATTGCTTTAGCGGCTTAGCTGAGGCCTTCAATGGTATCGGACAAACAGAGTTCTACTACTCGGAAATGCCCAAGAGCATGTCTAGCATAGCAACATGTCTGTTTGGGGTTGGGATGGCAATCGCAAGCTTGTTAGGTAGTGTAATATTGAACTTAGTAGACGATATTACCAAGCACGGAGGAAAGGACAGTTGGGTTTCGAGCAACATCAACAAGGGTCACTACGACTACTTTTACTGGCTTATAGCAACAATTTGCTTCTTGAATATACTGTATTTTGTGTTCTGTAGCTGGGCATACGGACCCGTTGAAGAGCGACAAAAGAAGGTTGATGATGAAGAAAAGTTGGCTATGCTTAAGAGTACAAGTCAGCATCAGAAGGAAGACGTAAAGAGGCCTTTGGTGTATTAAAATTAAATTGATTACGAGCTTGATGTATATTTTGGTAAGATTACATAAAATCAATGGTGGATTTCTGTACTTTAGTATAAGTAAAGTATGATTTAGAATATAGCTGATTGTTGTGCTTGACCTATGACCAAGTATTTTGTTCTTAGAAATGTTTTTTATAGGTTTTTTTTGGTGTTTTTTTTTTTGCTTGTATTGGAATTTAATGCTGTATGTATATGTAATTCAGGTATTTCTCTCTTTCCACTTCATTTTTCAGATCGTACTGATGCCATATGCTTTTTTTTTTTTTTTTTTTTTTTTTTTTTTTGGCTATCCTAACTAGTTTGAAGGGTAAACACCTACTCGTAGTAATGATGTATGAATAACATAAAACTGTACACATTTTAGACACTTCACACATTCTAAGTTATTCTTGTAAGTGATCTATTTATTCATTATGTTCAATTCTTTTTGAATAATTTCTAATACACGTATATTATATTGAAATAAGTTTATACTTGGTATAAATATTGATCCTTTTGTTCCTCCAAACATCTACTCTCTCCATTCCTGAGAGAAGGTTATGTTTGTCTTATTTTACACATTTTCCTTGTACAATATAAACTTTGCATGTAACTATTGTGAATTTGAGCTCCTTATCAATTTTAAACATCTACCTTCATAGCGTGAAATCACAAATTCACAGGGGGATGAGAAGTCGAACCCAGGTCACACTTGGGAGAGATGGAGGGACTAACCATCCCTCCACTCCTCACTCCTCAATAGAGCAAAGTATATACTAGTAAACAAAACAAAGAGTAGACAAAATTCAATGAATGATGGAAGTAAGACTCTTCCCAAGCAATATAGCATAGTCTTATATGGGCAACTGACATCCATAACAGGACATATAATTAAGGGCTGTGAACGTGGCTATTCCACGAAAACCGGAATAAAAAGGCCCAACGTTCAGAAATCCCTTTAAGAGAGTTGGAATGTTGGATGTGATTGTTCGCCATGTTTCATTCCCTCATAAACCGGAAAGCAAGGCCCAATTTCTACTACAAATTTTTACCTAAACCCCTATGTAGGTAGATCTACCTACACCCCCTTTTATCATTATGACGTCATCATATAATTTTCCGAATTCTGATTCACATATAAAATAAAAAAGTGAATATCTTAAACTTCAAAATATACATATCATATATATGTGCCTTACAAAATGTTTATTGTCTTTCAATCTATACATTTGGAATAAATAAAAGGTATATAGAATCATTGTCTTTGTCATACGGTTGTACCCCTTTTACTCTTATGATGCTTGTTTGTTTTCCTTTAATTTATACATATCTTTCCAATATATACATAGTCGTCTTCAACTTTTTTTTTTTAATTTTTTTATTTCATTATCTTGTGTAATAAGAGATCAAAATATTGTAAAGGGAAATGTTAGTAATAACCAAATAAAATACACTATAAACAAAACATGATAATTAATCAAACATTTACAATAACAAATTTGAACACATTGCTAGAAAATGAACATAGTTGAATATGAGAATGAATAAGTATTGCATTATATATGAACATCTTTCAACATAAAAATGAACATATACCAAAAGTCCAATGAACATTTTCAATACGAGAATGAACATTTATAAAATTTAATTGAGCATTTTTTTTTAATATAATAACAAACAAGTAATAAAAATTGAAACAAATATATCTCTTTATATGAGAATGAACAAGTATAAACTCTAAATGAATATGCTTAGATATGAAAATTAATATGGTATTAAATTACAAATGAACATCTTTCATTATGAGAATGAACATGTAATGCAAAGAAAATGAACATATATCAAATTTAAATGAACATGAATTTCATTTAAAATGATCATAAATGAACATGAATTTCATTTAAAATGATCTTTTTCCATCTAAAACGAACATTTGCGAATTACGATAGATTAAAATTTCGTCATATAATAGTTTTTAGTGACATAATAAGTAATATTAAATGATAATTGATGTTTCAATTTCATAAATCAAATTGATAATTTGTCTTTAATTTTAGTTATTATAATTTGAATATTTTTTTTTTGGCAGTTATAATTTTAATATTAATCCTTCTACAAATGAACATAAAGTCCATCTAAAATGAACATTTACGATAGATTAAATGTACTAGCAAATATTCACCGGATAACAATTTTAATTAAATTATGTTATAATCATGGAAAATTCTTATAACATAATTTAATAATTATTATAAGAATCACTTGCATTAAAACTATAAGAAATCACAAACTCTAATTGAAATTTCTTATTAGATTTGTGAAGAATTCTAATGATAATATATTAATAAGTGAATGAACAAATACTAATATATAAATGAACATTTATCAAAATGAAAAACGAACATTCATTAAAAAAACACAAAAAAAATTTCACTGCGAACTAAATTTACATTTCTATATTCCTACAAAATAGATCAAATAGTCCATTATATTAGGGCAATTGAACTGTATTTTAAAATTTTTTTTGTCCAATTATTTTTACAAGCTAATAACACACACCACAAGATCAATCAACTTAAAATAAATAATACCAAACATCATTCTACTATAATCATAAGAAATCATTATTATGATAAAAATTATAAGAATCATGAACTACTACTACTGAAATTTGATATTATTGAAAAACAAGGCAATTAAAAAGTTAGGGTTAAAAAATTATAAGAAATCACAAACTACTATTGAAATTTAATACTCTCTCCGTTCCTGAAAGTTCGACTCACTTTGCATTTGTGCGGTCTCCAATGAACATCTTTGACCATAAATATCTTCGGCTATGTATAAGTGAAATTATAAAAAGTTGATATTTGAAAATTTTATAATAAGGGGAATCTAATTAAACCCCTCATACTAATTTATTTCTATTGTATAAATCATAATATGTTGTCAAAGTTATTTTATTATGACCAAATGAATAGTAAGTGAGTCGAACTTTCAGGAACGGAGGTAGTATATCTAGAGAAAATAATTGAAAAACAAGGAAAAAAACTTAGGATTTGCAATTTTTTCCTTCAAAAAATAAACAAAAATAACTTACAATTTGATTTTCGACCTTTCATTTGATGAAATTTCCTTTGATTTTGTGATTTCATCTTTCATAAATCTAATATTTTAGTTGAGATCTAAGCGAATTTTGATTTTTTTTCAAGAGAAATTTGAGAGATTTTTGGTAGTTTAGGAGAGAGAAAGTGGAGTGAAAAATAGGAAAAGTGGGTAAAATTTTGAGGAGAGAGAAAATGTAATAATATTATTTCTTTTTTTAGCATTTATATGATGAAAGAGAAAAGGTGAATTTTTTTTTTTTTGTTCAACATGATAGTAATTATTGTACATGAAAAGGGAAGAAATGGGGGTTATAGGTATTACTATCTACAGTGGGGTGTAGGTAATAACAACTACAATTTCTACTACTACTTCTACTTTTCACAAACCTAGCCTATATTACCTATGGTATAGTCCTAAACCCCATTCACCAGCTCACTACTCACTACTCACCACCCTTCTCTTGCTTCACTTTACTATACTATGTGTAATTTTCTTATATACAAAGTAAATAATTGCACCATTTGAACCTTTATATCCTCGTGACCGACAATTTGATTCATTAAAAAAGTTTGAAAAATGCAAGTAGGTGCATGAAAAAAGGTGGATAATGCTAGAAAGATGGAGTTAAAATCTGAGAGAATGTAAGTAGTGGCGAATTCAATAGTTATAGAACTTATAGTAGTAAAAAGTAACACGAGGTAGTCACATAAAATTTGAACCAAAAATATAATCCGTATCGAAAAAGTAGAAACTCATATTTGAAACCTAACCCGCTAGACCAATGAAGGAAAACTCTGTGTAAAATTATGTACCGTCATTAAGGCTCTGTTTGGTAGGGCGTAAAACATATTCACTGAAAAGTGCTTTCCCATTTTACATTGTTTGGTTTGGTGTAAGACATTAAAATGTAAAATTTGGGGTGAAAAATCATTTTCCACCTTATTGAAAACATTTCCCCCCCAATTTAGAAGGAAAACATTTTCCATCACAAGTAGAGGGAAAACATTTTCCCTCACAATTGAATTTTCAGTTCAATCAAACAATGAAAAATGCTTAAAATGGAAAATCATTTTCCATTCAACCAAACAACGGAAAACTTTTTTGGAAATGAGTTTTCCATTGTAAAATGATTTTCATGGAAAACCATTTTACATTGAAAATGTTTTACACCCTACCAAACGGACCTAAGTTTTATACAATTTCTCCTAAATATTTTTTATGTATACTGTATAATCTACATTTTTTTTAATGATTAATACTAGGGATGTCAGTGGGGCAGAGCAAGTAGGAGACCCTGTTGGAAATTAAGGCTAATAACGAAATAAATCTTATCTCAAAGCAAAGAGTATTGTCGTGGCGTGACAGAAATCACTGCCCTAAAGTCGAATTTGCCTCGCACTCATACACACGGACTCACGGTAATCGACCCCCAGGGTTACACGACTTCATCCGAACTGTGTACTCCGTAAGGATGAATTGAGAACTCAATAATACAATGCCTGAATAGTGTTTTGAATAATTTATGAGAGTGATGAGAAAAACAGTGAGGAAGTCGGTTTTTTTTTGTGTTCTCAAAGACTGAAAGAATGCAGTATTTAAACTGAGAAGAGCAGAATAATCAAGGGAGAAAATCTCGGTAATTAAAATGAGGAGATAATTTTGGGGAAGGTAATCAGTCAAATAATTGATTGGCATAATTACGGAGTAAATCAAGGGTTAAATCTTTGATTGAATCCACGTAATAACGGTTACAATATCAACGATGATATCGTGACCGTTATCCGAAAGTTTACATAAAAAGTTAGAATCATGTGTAAAATCCGGCCGCACCCGCACTCGCGCACGTGTCATGAAAACGAACACGAACCGGGCCGCGGCGGCGGCGGCGCGCGAGGGGATACCCATATCTAGCCCACACAAGTTACTCAAGTATAAACATGAGTGATGAAATATATAAAGAAGATAAAACCTCTTTACCTCACCAATGTGGGACTTTGTTCTTTTATTTTGAAGCAACCAAGGAGACTATTCAACAATATCTCCAACAATCCCCACATGATTCAAAAGAAAAGAAGATGAAATGAGTGCAGGATGACAATTGGGCATTGGAGATGTAAGTCTCTCAGGTATCAATATCTTGTGGACTTG